TGGCTCTATCTCTCATTATGTGTCGTACATTTTCTTCCCAGGCAACTGAAGGCCTTCCTCTTCTTCTCTGTTGTGGTATGTAATTTAAAGCTTTCTTTGGCCATCTATCTTCATTCATTCGCTTCACGTGACCATACCACATTAGTTGTCTTGTTTCAATTCTGTCTACACTGGAATATACAGTATTTGTCCTCCTTCTAATATCTTCATTCCTGATATGATCTTTTTTGGATACACCACACGCTCTCCTTAGAAAATCCATTTCTACTACTTCTATTCTTTTTCTATCTTTTTTCGTGATCTGTCAAACTTCTGCCCCATAAGTCATAATAGGCTCTACCAAGGTTCGATAGATTGTCAATTTCGTTTCTTGTTTAATATCTTTAGACCATAGTAGAGAGTTTAGAATGTTAACCGCTTTTTTTCCCTGCTGCGTTCTGTTTTCGATGTCTTTTTTGGTAGTGCCTTCTTTAGATATTATAGATCCGAGATATTTATATTCCTTGCATGTTTTTGAGTTTCTATTTTCTAACTCTGGATCTTCTTCATCATCTCCTATTTTACGATACTCTGCCTTTGACATATTCATATTGAGGCCCCATTTTTCATATTCTTTAGTTTTCTAAACATGTAGTCCATGTATTCCTCATCATTCGCTACGACTATCTGATCATCTGCGAAAAATAAAATTATTAGACATTTACCATCGCCTATGTCTATTCCCATTCCGGATACTTGTTTCCTCCACTGCTCTAGCGATGATTGAATATATATTTTAAATAAGGTCGGAGATAGCCATCATCCTTGTTTAAGCCCTTTGTTATTGGAAATGATTCAGATATAAAGTTTCCTTCTTTAACGACACTTCTTGCATTTTTGTATATATTTGCAATAGCATTCACATACTCTCTACTGAGACCTACTGTCGTCAATGTTTGAAACAGTTTTTTAAAGGTACCGTATCGTATGCCTTCTCTAAAGCTACAAACAATAGGTGGGTAGATAGATTCCTTACCTTCCGTCTTTCGATTACCTGCTGCAGAACGAATATACCATCAGTGCACTATCTTCCTGCACGAAATCCATTTTGTTCTTCTATCTTCGTATTCTGATTCTATTCTTTTTTTATTTTTCGACCGTACAACCTCCCCACTGAGCTGATAGCAGTTATTCCCCTATAATTAGAGCATTTGCATTTATCCCTTTCTTGAATATTTGTGGCTAATATAATGTTTATAATAAATAAAGAAAAATTAAAATTTAAAAATTTAAAATCTTGTTGGTAGATCGCTTGGAGTAAGACGCTTTAGCCTTCTGTTTGCATGGGGCCTCATAAGGTTCTTCGCTAGCCTGTTGGGGTGGTTTTGCAGTCGTCTGTCATATTTTTGGGAGTAACTGGCAATTTCTTCTTTGACACTGGAGATCTCGATTGATGAATTCATTGGGCATGTACCACGGTGCATTTGTGATAATGCGAAAGGTCTTCGATTGGAATTTCTCCAGTATGTCGATATTTGATCTTGACGCAGATCCCACAGTTGGATACCATAGCTCCATATTGGCTTTATCACTGACTTGTATACTAGGATTTTATTGTATAAATTCAGTTGTGATCTTTTTTCTATTAGCCAGTACATTTTACTGAGTTTCAGACCCAACTGTTTTCTTTTCGTGAATATCTGTTTCTTCCACGTTAGTCTACTGAGAATCAATATTATTGATTCTCAGTTCGTTAAAACCACAGAGATTAGCCATGAATTCTTTATTTGCGTTGACATGGTTTTCATTAAATCTTTGTTTTACTCCTGGAACTATTTTAGTTCCGATTCGTGCATTAAAGTCACTCATAAGAATTAAGGATTCTTCATGAGGTATTTCATCCAGGATGGTTTATAATTGTTCGTAGAATGCCTCTCGTTCGTCCTTAGGTTTGCAGTTCTCAGGGCTATAGATAGATATGACATTTAATTTTTGGTAGTCCATTGTAATGTTCATATGTATTATTCTTTCTTTTCTTCTATCTCTTTTCTATCAGTTCTTCTATTATTAGTTGACTTGGTCTTAATTGTTAAAAGAAGTAATGTTCCATGTTGCTAATCTGATTGTGGGCTTATTTTTCCTTCTCGTTTTCCTTTTCTTTGCGTGTTTCGTCATCTTAGATTCCGTCGACGCTTTATATCGGTTCTTTGAGGCTTGTTTTTTTAACAATGGGTAGGGGCACAGTATAAAGAGGCTCCACTTTATACTGTGGTAGGGGGCTAACCTGGCCAATCAACACTCCTCTGTTATCCGGGTTTGGGACCGGCTGTGGGCATGAACGTGGCTTTTTTCTTTATTTGTTTGTGTATATATTTTGAAAAATTGTATTTTTAAATCTGTTATTACTCAATAATCTCTTGTCTAATAAAATTTTCACAAAGTTTTCCAGTCTTTTAATTGATTAACTGTCTTTTTATTATCAAAATAACCAATAAAACCACTGAACCTTTTTTGGAGCATACAAATAATGGAATATAATGTCTATATTTATACGACTTTTATTGTTGCATCCAATTACAGCACATTTAAACTATTTAAATTTTTTAGCAAGTTGATTTTTTTCATTGATATTATGTACTATTTCATTAGGTTCATTCTATATAATAATATAATAACTCTTATTCACTAAAAATTAATTCCAAAGAATCTTAGAAATTGTTCTAACATATTTTTAATTATCCTTCATATTGTTCGAAATATGACATCTCCGCTTTTTTATTATCTAAAATACCGCAAATTGTGACATAAAATAGAATTTATGTGGCATTATTACCTAGAAGATAGTAAAAATATATACAATGTTTTTGTTATATTCATATAACCACTATTTAAATCTAGTGGTATATTTGTATTCTTCCGCTGTCGCAATTCGATGTATGTATGTACACTCTGTTTGAACGAATCAAGTTTTGCCCAATATACGACTTAATTGATGCCGCATATGGATTAGTTAAACATTTTGTATTGTTGAGAGACACGAGAGTTTGTTGAAATTCAGTGTTTTTTTTCCCTATAGGTTTTCAATTTTAATGAAGAAATAAAAAAAGGAGGTTTGCTGGAAGTAAATGTCAAACAGGACCTATATCACCCAAGGAAGTTATTGCACGGGAACAAGCCAATACGGGACAAACTCTTTTGTTTTGAAGTGTCCTGTTACGTATAGATTAGTGTTTGGACGAAGTGCAAACGGATATTCAGAAAATATGAATCTATCTATTCCTCAGAGACATAATTAACTCATGACATTTTTGGAAAACTATCTTTAATATCGCTCACTCAAAGCTTGACAGGAAGTTTCCTGTAGACAAAATATAATGAATCTTGGATAAATTTGTAGTCACAAGCGGTAACTGAAAGAGAGGAAGTTATTTTTTTTTCTGGCCAAGTACACAAATAAACACTGATAGTGATATGGAAAGATACTGCCAGGAATTAATGATTGGACTGAAACAGAATGGGATTCGGTTAGAATGTATAGACCCTCTCCTAACGCAGATAAGAAAGTTTTACAGGAAGTTCCATCTTCATTAATCAAATATCCGAGATCAGGAATACAATTTTTCGCATGAGAACGGATTAAGTTCTATACTTATTTCTTATGGGAAATGTTGGTTGTACGTCCTGTTCGGTAAAGTCAAAACATCCGGTCGTATACCTAAGTTTCACTGTATATTATTCCTGTATATTTTTCATGTGCTTTCTGTTTTCATATTTATTTCTTGTGGTTCGTTTTGACTATCACAATGATAAGCTCATGGTTATCTAATAACAAGAAGGCAACATACACATATTGTCGTTAGGCGTCCTTCTATAATTTATGATAACCACTAAGTATTTCATTTATGAGTATTATGTAAAGCTATAAAAAGATTTTCACAGCAAAAATTTTCATTATAAATACCTTTTTTTAATTCAATATTATATCGTTAAAAAGTATATCGTCATCAAAATCCACAAGGAAAACAATTCCTGTAGCTGGCTGTATATTTTGTATCACAAAAAAAGAGGTTAGTCTTCGTAAGTGGGTATATTTATTTAAAAACCCTTAAAAGGGCTACATAAAAAAAACAAACGTTTTCGGACTAAACAGTCCATCATCAGGTTTAAAACCGCTAGGTTAAAATGCCTGAGCCACCAAAAATACATGGGTAAAAACCCTTTAAATTACATATAGTTATAAAAGATTATACATATTGTTGTTAAAAAACTGTGATGTTCAGTAATAAATTAAATATGACTTCAGGTAACATACATTGCAAAAATTGAGTTCCAGAGCCGGGGAGAAAACCTCTACGCACGGAGAACAGCTGGAGACTCAATTTTTGCAGTGTATGTTACCTGAAGTCATATTTAATTTATTACTGAACATCACAGTTTTTTAACAACAAGATGTATAATCTTTTATAACTATATGTAATTTAAAGGGTTTACCCATGTATTTTTGGTGGCTCAGGCATTTTAACCTAGCGATTTTAAACCTGATAATGGACTGTTTAGTCCGAAAACGTTTGTTTTTTTTATGTAGCCCTTTTAAGGGTTTTTAAATAAAAATACCCACTTACGAAGACTAACCTCTTTTTTTTATATCGTCATCGTTCTATAAACAAAATATTTCTAAATTCAGATTAATTTTGGATCACTTTTTTTACTCCAGTCGTCAGAGACGAAAAAAAAAAACGCTGAACCTCTAAAAGTCACACATACGAACAATGTAACAGATAATTTTAAACAAAAATGTTTAGTAGCACTTTTTTTGTAGAATGAACCATTCTCTCGGAGCCAATTTTTTAAATAAAATTTGTATCAACTAAACAGTAAAAATATCCTATCGACAAAAATCAAAATGGATTTTAAAGGTTAAGAGTTTAAGACAAATCAATCACATTGTTTCTATCTTTTGGTATGTTTGATTTAATGATTTGATTTTCAGGATGTTTTACAAATGTATGTTTTCTTTGCAGAATTTTTTGTATGAGTCAGAAGGTAGAAAAACCAGTTCTATCCGGTCAACGCATCAAGACCAGAAAAAGAGGTAGGTGGTGCAAACTTAATATTCAAATAAAAAAATATTTTTTAAAACATTTATTAAAATACTAATTTAGAAATATTTTTAATAATTGTACATTACAAGCGTTGCATTCATATGTGGAATTAAAACTTTTTTTTTTTTTGTAGAATATTATACAAATTATATTTTACTTTACATTATTTTGGCTATATCTGACGCGAATTACTCATAAAAAATGCATTGTAAGAGAAACAAGTATCAATAATTTACAAAGAAAGTAATATTTTCGTAATAAGGAACAAAAAATTATTAAATAAGCTAATTCATAAAAGAAATTAAGCCACAACTATTTTCAGAAAAATAAAGCACGAAAAAAGGCAAATAGAATTTTTGAAAATAGAAAACACTATGAATCTATGGATCGAATTTACCATTTCGTGACAGTTTTTTTTAACGGGTTTTATAAACATATTTTTGTGATTTTTTATTTTTATATACCCAAATATACCCTGTTGTATCATAAAATGTTTATGAAAATGTTAGGGTGTTGATGGGGGTGGTGGTACATATACGTACCGTTAGTCTTGTGTAATGGTACTTATGTGAACCAACAGTCCTACATAAAAAAATTATTAATATACTTATATTATTTTGTTACTCAAGAATATAAAAAAATTACACAAACATACAAAATATTACTTACGGTGATCTACTGCGAAACACTTTGTACATGAAGGTATGTCACACTCTTCGCAAACGGTTTTTGCACGTGTGTGCGTTTTATTATCAGTGCACCTTTTACATCGTCTTCTTGTGTTTCCTTCAATTGGAAGATGTAATGATACACTTTCGCAACGTTTTCCTTTTATAGATACCTACTCTTCCCTTCTTAGATGAACGTCGTACAGCAGCTATTTTTTATCCTTCAGCAATCATTTCTTCTGCCAGAGGTACCAAAAATTGTATCAGGAATTTTTTGTAATTTTTTTCATTATAAATAATCCATGAGTTTACAACTGACATCATAAGTAAGCGATGGAATACATTTTCCCACCTTTTGTTTGACTTACGATCTAAATTATACAATCTAACCATTTGGTCTGCTAGATCAACCCCACCAATAATTTTCCTGTTGCACGCTATCATTGGAAATATCTTCAGAACAATATTGTATGATCTAACCGATGTGCAAGTGATGAAATTGCTACCTAAACGCCTCAACCTACTCCTAAAGAGCATATCTGTTACATATTTATAAAGTTACTTGTGTATATGTAGCAAGTCGCTGCACAGTTTCTCCTACATCTTTTAAGGCCCTGACGAACGGATGAGCGTTACATAGTTGGAACGACTAAGTATGTCTGTCAGGACCAATGGGGAAATATTACACGAATCATCATCTACAACTTAAGCCTAGTTGAAAGGAGGCTGTCCTAATTATTTTTACAATTGCATTATATTTCCGCTAATAAAAGGTTTTGTGGAATTCGCCACAGTTTTAAGTAATTTAAAATTGTGTTCAATTTCCATAGAGATATCAAATAACATTAAAACGTCACAAGAAAATATCTTCATAGCCTTATTAAATGATTTTTAAAATATTTTCTATACATTGGTTGTTTGTAATTGACAACGATGTAATATACAGGGATGGAACATGTTGATATTTTTACATGTAGCTGGTCAGCGACGAAACTGACGTCACGTTATCGGCTAAAATGTCCGACGTTAATTTGACAGGTGGTTAATGTAAATATAGTGATCCCCGATATGTTAAAGTTAAACAGAGACCATTATAATATAATCATTTCATATAATATAATCAATAATTTAATCTATTCTTTTTGGTAAATCAATAAATTTTTAATATTTTTTATCTAGACACATCAGATTTAGATGTTTTTATGTTATAAAAATAATAATTTTTTAATTTTACAATGTTACACGTCATTATATCTTTTATTCAAAAATTTAATTAACAGCGAAAATAAATAAATATTGTACATATATATGTACCAAAATGATTTTTTTCGTAAACCACTGACATTCCGGAAACAAGAAATAGTCACTGTTATTAGCTACTTCGGACGCAAGTATTTATTCATAGGTTAATATTTTTATAATTTTTGTTTCTGTTGATATAAAAAATTCGATTAGATTTTTTCTACTTAATTTTTGTTCTACGCTGAAAAACTAATTGAGATCTTGCCGTTATATAGTCCAAAAACCCTTCTTTCAGTGTGTCATAGTTGTTCGAATTTTACCTGACGCATTAAGCTAGAAGTGACAGAAAAAAACGTGAGTCTGTGATTATTATACATAGAACTTAGGTATCGTTAACGGGTATTCGCATATTAAAGCGAATTCTACTTACGGATGTATAATTGGTTGGAGTTTAGAATAGGCTAAATAGATATCCAATCAATGATGCACATAGATATAATTTGACGCAGATGGTCTCGATCGTGACAGTGACAGTACTTTCACAATGTCAACTGATAAAATGATAATTGTCATTCCAGGTTAGTATTTTCATATTTTTTACCTACAGTGAAAATTAAATTTTGTATTTATCGTCATAAAAATATTTTAAATATTCCGAGATATACCGAGAATGAACAAAGACTAATATTGAAATTATTAAATTATTTTCAATTAGAAACAGAGGCTGGGACAACCAGTTTCTGTCGTTCGCGAATCAGATTGTGAATTCAGGAATGATATTGAGGAAATATCTTAAACTAATACCGTTATGGATATTTATATGTATTAAAAGGGTTCTTTTTAGAACTAAGACATTTTCTTGAAATGTAAGATATAATTGATACCAGCCATTATCTACTGTAATCATTGATTTTAATGAATCGGATTGTGGATTGTTTGAAATATAATATTCATTTTTGTTATTCATAAAAAAGAAGGTAAACTTACATTCGGTATCTTATTTTTTAACTAAACTCCATTAACACTATTTCATCTGGATACTGAAACTGGTATATTAAGTCAAAAATCAACTGCTTCACTATTTAAACTATTTACATTGGTTTTTTAACTAAACTTTATAACACTCTTTCATTTGAACACCAAATCTGGTAGGATAACTCAAAAATCAACTTCTTCACTATTTAAACTATTTCCACTATTTAATGATAAATCTTCACAAAATTAAACTTGGCTGCCACAGAACTTATCGGAAAATTACTTATCCAAAAGATGTCTGATTTCAATTGATGTTATTTTATTACAGGAATGTTTGCTTTGATGCATTGGAGGAAGCGTTATTTTAAATAAACAAACATTCCAATTCCATAGTGTTTGTAATAAATAATAATAAATCCATAAACAAATCTTGGCTAATTAAGCACTTTCCTTGGAATTTATAGAATAGAAATTATGACAAACTGCCGTTCCAATATAATGCGCAATAAATTTTTTTATACAGGACGGGACCTCTAATATGTAAATTAAATAAAAATTTAAATTGTTATAGTTTTTACTCCACAAAAAAAATAATAACCTTTGCACATTTAGCCGATTACAATCCTGCAACTGTCAGATTTAACTAAAATGTCATCCAATAATTCTCGATATTCTTAAAATCCTATATGACGTCAAAATTAGTGACGCACTGAAAGAAGGGTTTGGGACAGACTGTACGTTTGCGTATCAGTGTTAAAACTACCTTTTTTATCCTTTACTTAAATATAAAAAAAAGTATAACTATCCACATTTTGTAGTTCTGATATTAGCTGCAAAATAAGTTTTGAAATGCAATGGAATGTTATAAAAACCATCCACGTCTTTCGGTGAAATTTTCGAAGCATTCAAATAAATATTTTCGTGATTCAGTAACATTTCCAGGAATAGTTGTTTTATTACAAAGTTGAATTTAACACTTGTTAACAATTCAGATATGATTTAATGAAATTATTATTGCCTGAACTTTTGTTGGTGTAAGAATTTATCGCCAGACTTTTAGTACATGGTGATTAGGCGTATTTTTAAAGTAATTTGCATGATTATCAGCTGCTTTAAAAAGTTTTGTAGTATTCGTTAATTATCACCATTCATAAGTAAACTGCACGTACAAATCACACTTTTATTTGTTCATTATGTTGTAAACATATGTACGCATCTAGACATGTAGACAATTTAAATCCTCATACTTGCTCTACATTAAATGTAGCCTAGAAAAATATAAACAGTAACAAATTGGTACTGGAAATGTTTATTTTGTTAATATGAAGAAATATATTAAAGAAGGTTCCATTATTGATTTGATTAAACCCTTTTCTTGACAATGTAACAAAAATGTTTCATTTTAGCCCCTATGTGAGTTCTAGGCGATTTGTGGCGCATTCTGTTAGTCATTTTTCTTCTTCTTCTTCTTCTACTTCTTGGAGATCTTTCGATCTGTTTAATTTTGAAGATGCCTCTGGTTAATTGCCTGGGAGGTAGATTGCCAACTATCCCTCCATCTTTTAGGTGGTCTTCCGGGAAGTCTTGAACCGGGCGGGTTGTTTTCTAGGGCAATTTTTGGGAGTCTGTTCTCATCCATTAGTCTTTCATTATTATACCACATCCTCTTACGCTGCCTTCCCCATTTTACAATAGCTTGAATTCTGCACTGCTTTCTAACGTTTGTATTTCTCACCCTGTCTCTTCTTATTTTGCCCACTATTATTCTTAGTGTTTTCATTTCGGCAACACTTAGCATGTGCTTCGTTTTGTTGGTATGTCATGATCGTTCGTATGCAAGTCTTGTAGATTCTAATTTTGTTACTATAATGTTACTTTGTTTATAATTTTGTCCATGAGTAGGTTAAACAAGAAGGGGCGTACACTGTCGCCTTGTCTAATTCCTCCCGGTTTTGGAATATTTTCCGTTGAATTGGTCTCTTCATCTAACTTTGGTTACATTGGTATTTAGGTTAAGGACTATCTTTGTTATGTTGGTCGGCTCAATTTACCCATCGGCCAACTCCGCCTGAGTTGTCCCCTGGGTGGATTGTGTAGCTCATCGG